CGAAAACTGTGATCTGAGCATTGGTCGCCCTTTCAAAATGTTCAAAACATAAGGGGTAAAGTCTTTCAGCGACATCCATTTGGAATCGTAATGAAGTTTGAATGCTATTTGACCAACGGGGAAGACAAGGATTAATGAAGGCTAGCCGATTCACAACTCAATGGTTTCATACTCTCAAACGAGCCTAGCGCCGGGTTACCTACCCTAGATGGACGCTGTTTGGCTGAAAGTATGGTTATCGTTGACAGGTATCGATCCGGGAATCAATCTCTGAACCGTACAATTGGTAACGGTGCCATCTACCATTATCATAGACTAGCCTCAACCTCAAGCGAACAGTTACGAAAAAAGGCCGTGAGCAAACAACGAAATGAGCTGAGTATGAAAACTGTATAATAGTATCAAAGACTAATTTAAAGATTTATCAGTTCTTCAAGGCGGATCTGGTGTAGTGGCAAGCGGCGCAATATCTCACACACGCGGTTACGGGTTCGAATCCGGGATCGATAGGCCAACCATGCTTTTCATCCCTCCGGGGTCGGCTAATCGGGAACAGATCCAATCGGGAGGATAAAAGTATTGACTTGCACATCAACTGGCCACCGCAAGTCATTGTATGGGGCATATAAGCATTTAATACGCCAATATGATTCTAAATGGAAGTCGACACGTGAGCGCATCCTTCAGACGGGATTGATTAACGCCCCGTAACATTATCCTTTATCAGTTCTTCAGATGTGTAAATTCGGATATCTCAAAGCATTATCTGCATTCCAAAACTGTGCGATGGGAAAATTTGCCTACTCTCTCGAGTGTTCCCACCATTCTGAATGGGAATTACATGCGTGACATATCCCAAAGGGAATGATCATCACCAAAGACATCACGGAAGGCAATCTTCGAGGCCTCGAACTTTTTTGCTGCCTTCTAAACTGGAACCACGCGGAATGCAAGACCCTGCATTCACAGCAGCTAGCAATCTCTTTGTAAACAAGTGGGAAATGGTGCTTGAAGCAAATTTTCGTATGGATAAGGTCTATCAACTGATTACCGATCGAAAAAAATCTCATCAATTCTCTTCTTTTTCAACTTCACTGATAAATTATCAAAATTTGGAAGTCAGTCAGGAAAAAACGGTGTTCTATTTGAAGTTCGTAAAGAAGAGAAAGTATAAACTGAACGAGTGCTTCTGAGTTATTTCGTCCCTTGGGAGGATCGCAGCTGAACATACTGAGCAGCATGATCAATACTGTTCCCTAAACAAACTTTCAGTGGAAGGGAAAGATGGGGAAGGGTGTTCCTAATGGGAAGTGAGAAAATTCAACGAGGCGTTAACGATTCAGAGGTGATGATGGTCGTAACCTTGAATTGATGAAAAACATTGGGAGCTGGACTGGAAGAGTTATGAGACGCAAAACATCTACACACACACACCCGCCCGCACTCACACTCCAACACACTTCCAGCCCTGACACCTGCAACTTCCACAAGCGTGAAACTGATGAGGGAGTATGGTTGGGAACGAGACGCAGACGCCCGCGGCGGCATCGTCAAAGACCGGTGTCGGCGAGATCAAAGCGAACCGATCGGTGTCGTCCCATGTCATGCAAGACGCCCGATAGCCCTTACATTCATCCACCACCCCACTCCGTCCGATGATGATGAGACATGAATGGAGCAGATCACCGCCTGACAGAGGCGCGAAATCTCACAGCTGGCAGCTGTACCCTCACCTATCACATCAGAGAACAATTCACATATGCCAGAGTTTAACAAGGGTGAACATAAGGCCTGACTGATGCATGAACCAAGTTACGTCAGGAGCTTGACGGGCATGTTTTCAGAACCATGACAGGAACAGGCGCACTTACTATGAGTAGCCGAGGTGCCGAGGATTGCCCATGGTTGAATAGTATACCTTACCTGTTTTAACTTTTCAGAAATATGGAGCGCTAGAAGCAAGCAATTTGTTGTAATGGGCCATCAACTCTTTCGCCTTCCCTCACGACTATTTGAATGGTTACTAGTTTGTGCATTGAAATTTGGTCTACTCATGAGTGGCTATCGTAGCTAAGAGCAACTTCTCTGCCAAAATTGCAACTCTCCTTCACTCCCATTCCCTATGCTGTAGGAGACTTACGCGAACAGATGGGCGAAGTGGAGACGGGCAGTAGGAACGGTTTCGTGTAATCGACCCGTCGCACGCGGCTGTCGCGGACCATTTGCCTCATTATAACAGTTCTAGCGCTCTTCATACGGCTCAATCGCTATGCGATTATTACTAGATTATACCGTTTCTACTTTTGGCAGATTCCACTGTATTTCTTGCTTGCTGCTGCACTCTGCTACAATCCTTCGCTCGCGACGTCTCTCTTGCCGCGACGCGACAATTTCGTTCCTACTACACCACACCCTGGGCGAGGACTCCCGTCTGCACAATCCCGTGTCTCACCACTGTACCTCGCGTGAATCGAATCCAACAGGATTTAGCTTGGAAAGTAAAAAAACGCGTTCATCTTCGCTCACGATTGAACTGATAGCTTGTCAGCAGGGAAGAGTTTCAACTTACCAGCAAACTTGAAATGAAGAACTTCTAACTTCTCTAATCTTAGCTGCTGTCTTTTTAGGACGAGTATGTACTTCGGGACCTTTTCTTACGATCTCGCTCCATTCAATTTGAATTGAGTTGGTTTTGATGTGGGAGTCCACCGATGTGAAAAAGTTTACCTTATCGGTCTTGTAATTGACTAATTCCATTTTAGGGAGAGTTTTATAGTCCCCATTGGGAAAGCTCCAAAAATCTGAGCGCCTTGCTAACCTGGGAAAGGATGAAGACTCATGAATTTCAACATTCATTGAATTTAGTGCACGACAAAGAGGAGCCAGGAGAACGCCATAGTGAATTGAAGAAGTATGCTTGTAAGCATGACTAGTCTTGGAGTTAATAGTTGAGAATTTGACCGCAGAACCACATGTGCGGTGAAGGCGCTTCATTGCACTGATCATTTTTATTTTGGGATGAACCTCATTCGAGCTTCAATCAGATTGCATTGGGACTTTGACAAGATATTTCAGTTGTGGAATGACTTACATGGACAGCATACAAAAGCAAGTGGTTTTATCCTCGCACTGAGTTTGGTACCACTTAACCGATGCCGGAGTGATGGAAAGTATGGCCAGTCTGGAAGTTAACAGTCTAGGATTTGAGCGTGAGACCTGATGTGTTGTCGAGGTGCTCCATGACGTTTCCCCACCTCTGCCATACCGTAAATAATTTGGTGAAATGAGCAAAACTGAAAATTATACAGACTCCTAAAACAAGTCAAGCAAAATAAATCAGGGTGTTTCAGCATCATGAAACCCCCTTGCCACTCTAACAGAACGAACCAGCTGTTCAAAATTGCAAAGCTCCTATTTCCATTGAACTTATTCGGAAGAACAATTGGGATGGATATCTGCTGAATCCTGCAACCCTATTCAAAAATCAGCCATGTCCGAGTACTACGAAATTTAAATCAGAATCTATTGAGAAAAACGAAATAGTGGGCGAATTTCAAAGGAATGAGCAGCACAAAGGGCATGATCTCTAATTGATTCCTAAATGTAGAGAAAAACATGCTATTAGAGTCGCGATGATTGTTGACAACAATTCTCATGCGCCATAGAAATGTCCAGCTAAACAAAGTCGTAGAAGACAAAAGTCACAAAAACAAGCCCCTGATATAAAAACCAAGATCTAGGAACCTCGTTTGAACCGAAATCCACCAGTAAAGCTGTTATAAGCCTAAAGTGCACCGTTTTCTAGTAAACTAAAAGGAATGGTATTTGGCAAGATTACTAGGATTCTAAGGTCTCTCCTACAATCCAGTGAAGTTTCATTTGGTTATGCCGAATGCGTTTAATCCTTTAGTTTTCATGAAGTTGAAGAAACAGCAGGATGGCAATTCGAATTGGGAAAGAGGCACAAGTGTTGAACGAGGCCTGCAAAGCATGCAGCACTAATTGTAAGAAAGGGTAACTGTACTTAAGGATACAAAAGATAAACGAATGACAAGTAATGCTACAAAAAGTCTACATTCCGGAAGGCCGATCTACTTGAAGCTTGAAGGACTTAGATTTTTTGGGGGCTGAGTTTGTTGAGATGGGTAATTGGAACTTGACTAGGTCAAGAGAAAGAAACAGCTAGCTGAAGAAGGGCAACGTCGTCATCACGCCCGGAATTAAGGTCGAATGCCTGGCGCATCCTAGGCAGGATCAGGTCCCATCCCGGATATCCTGTATGAGTGTTTTACATAAAAATTCAGTGCAAGCATCTCTTCACGTTGTTGAAGGCATGAGATGAGCCAACTATCACTAGTTAGATGGCCTGTAGCCAGACCTACGTAACAATTAGGTAACAACCTGGAAATCGCCATTTTATTCAGGTATACGAAGAAATCTCCAATCAATAACATCACCACATATCTACCCCTTAGCATAATGGAATAAAATCGATGAGGTCCTCAAAGATAAGTGACTTAACACAACCGATAAATCCGTTCATCAGAGACATTACTAGAAATATATACTACGAACCTAGCATCTACTCATCGCTGATAAATCTCACCAGAAGAGGTTCTCCTACTCGCCGAGAGTTTTTGCAATAGCTGTTCCTTTGTTATAGTAGGGGCGTAAAAGTCTAGCCTGTTTCTTCAGCGGTTCTTAGTGTACCGACGCAGGAAGGAAAAAAGTAGTCGGCAGCCTTTGGCAGGCATTCTATATATAAATACTAATGAGTAGTCGAAAAGCTGATACTAAACTGTACTTCCGAAAACATTTTCTTCATCCTATTTTGCGGTACTCAGAACGACTCAGGAAAAACCAATCTTTCGAACTCTACTTCCTACACCTCACTACACAGAAAGAAACAATTTGCAAAATCTTTCGATGAGTTGGGAGACCTCCCTAATCAGTGGAATCGATCCATTCTTCCTAAAACTTGGCAGAAGAACGAAATGGCGTTAAAAACCCTTTTGGATTGCAGCCTGAACAGCTTCTCGAATCTGCTTTATAGCGGCTTCTTGACTGGGCGCCTTTATGACTCCTGTTCCCGATACAATCACATTCGCACCAGCTTCAGCTGGTATCTAAAATGTACTCTTTTGGAATTTGGAACTTGGAGTTAAATTGAACAAACACTCGCAAGAAGATGGAAACACATCGTAAACTAGCGCCCAATGACAATCGACGCCATGGTCGCAAACATAGTCTGGGAAATGAACCCGAAGTCTCAATTTGATCGAATCACCTTTCCCTGGGAAATGAACCTGAAGTCTCAATTTGATCGAATCACCTTTCCAATGCTATTAGGTTGTCGGAAAAAACCCTGCACATTTCGTGATTTTTTCAAAGTCAATTTTTTCTTTCACAACAACTAACAATTAACAAATATATCGCCATTATCGACAAAGTATTGCCATCTATTTCTCAACTTGTGGATCTCGCTTGCCTATAATTCCTGGGGTTTCGAGGAGAAAAGGAGACAAAAGTCAAAGCATTTCACCGAAGACTTTTGAGCGCTACTGTAGCTACGCTACACGGTTAGGGCATTAGTAGCGAATGATACGGAGTACGGATCAGGTGTGAGCTGTGGTCACCACCTCCAAATGCGGAGAGATTCATGTCTGACTGTCTGTAGACTTCCCACTGTTTCTCTCGAGAGCTACAGCAGGGCGATCCATCGAATACGCTAGGCTTCGGTGTTGACAGTGGAGTTTGGTGGCAGTAAATTTCAGTGGCTGCTTTCATAGTCCGCCGGCGCGCCGGCTGACGTAAAACGAATTAGTTCGTGTGAGAAATCTACGTCTCTTGCACTTTATTTCACGGTCATCTTCTTAACGGTCGGGTTCTGACCGTGAAAGAAAATGTTACAGACGAAGATTTCTTACACGAATTAATTCATTTTATGCCAGCCGGCTGGCCGGCCAGTGAAAGCAGCCAGTGATCGATCCTTTCGAATGGCTATAAACGCTCAGCATTGCCTTCTTATGTCAGAGTTCTGACTGAGGTTGAGATTCCATTCTCTACAGTCCAAGCCCCTGGCGCTTCCTCGTGGCGTTTACGCAGAAAACACATCCCTCGTCGCCGCTCATCGAATCTTTCCACCATGCGAAGGTGCGTTGGAAAATCAACAATTTCAGACGTGAATCTCCCCTCATTGTGAGGTGGTGACCACAGCTCACACCTGATGCGAACTCCGTATCTCCACCTCCTTCCGAGGCGATGCAAATGGGCAGCTACTGTGTCGTGGAGGTTACTGAGCTCCCGTTCTAGCTCGCGGGTACTACACCTGGAATTCTCCTCGACCAGCTTCAAAAGTGGTCGTCATTGAGCTCAGCTGATCTCCCAGATCGTGGTTTTCCAGTCTAGTCAAGTGTCCATTTTGAACTTGTGGTTCCAATTTTTTCTTGTGCTATAAAAGTCAATGAAGGATCCCATTGTATTAAATATGATCCTCGTCGCACGATTTGAATTGACGTTTTTCTGAACACGTAAAGCAGAAGCAGTCTCACTTGCTTTGAGTCGAGAGCGATTCTTCTGGCCACAACCGCTGCAAAATGCTACGGCAGATATGGTGTGGAGAGCACGTTGATCTGCACTTACAAATGTTCCGCAAAGAACGTTCCAAAACGATCTCCAAAGGTTCCACAAAATGGAAATCAAAATGAGCAATGACTTTTCGGAAACATAATAAAAGGATAAAAACAAAAAATAAAATCTATGAAGGATGATTAATCCCGTCCCAGAGACGCGCACCCGCATTCGACGTTCATTCAGAAACGTAGTGGCGTTTGAATGCTTATATGGCACATACAATAATTTGCGGTTTCCAGCCGATGCACAAGTCAGTGCTTCTCTCCTACCAGACGAGTCTGGTACCAATTAACTGACCCCGGGGGGATGGAAGGCCTAGCTGGCCCACGCGGATATCGATGCGCATTTCGATCCCGTGACCATGTGTGCGTGATAGTCTGCCACTTGCCACCATACCACCTTCGCCCTTTTTCGATACTAATCGGACAATGCCAGCACCTCTGTCAGGTCATATAACTAGAATTAGTTACATAACAAATGAAGTACGATTTTTTATTTGGAGACGTTTTGTGAGCATCATGGACGCACTACATAAAAAAGAAAAACTAGCGTATGCATCAAAGAACCGGACCTACATGTCATGCCTACACCCTGTGACGTGCCTTCTGTTCCACTTCATAGGACGGCTGGCGCAGCGCGCACTCGGTCCTGCCGGGAAGGTACGGTATGCCGCAGAGGGCGAGAGGACGCCACATGGCTATACATAGCTACGGACTCTGGTTGCATATGCCATCATGCGACGATTGCATTATTCATTCTCGTCACCATCGTCGTCGCAGCAGTATGGTAGACTCCGTCTTTTTACACGTACTCCACGTCAGCCCCACCGGCGCAGTTCCAGAGGGATCCACAGCATCACTGTATTGCCACTGTATTGAAGCATCTGCTGTCAAACCAACCTCACGCAAGGAAGAATTGGAGGAATGGTTTGAAGCCATGGATGAACCAAGGAGCAGCAGTGCCGCAAGGAGATCGGGAGGATTGTATGGCCCAGATTGAGAGTGAGCAGGTTCGCACCCCATTTTACTGTATATATATATATATATATATATATATATATATATATATATATATATATATATATATATATATTCCTGCATTCCTTTCCACAGTATTTGCTACAACCGCAGTTACTCGCATCTTTCAGTTTAACGTAACATTTAATTTCTAAATACGGGCAGGAGACCCCGGTAGTTGCCCATAAAATTATATAATTCATTCATGTAAGCCTAGTACGTGGAGTGAAAAGACACCTTGTGTTTTGCAGTCATCCATAGCGCTGAGATAAGCAGGTACGCAGGCCCTGAGAGGACTACGCGCCCAGCGCCTAGAGGGAATTCGGTGCTGGGCGAGCAAATTCCTAGTGTACAGACAGTACCATCCCGTAGGAGGAAGTAAGGGGACCGGGGCAGCTTAGGTCTACCATGTCCATGGGGCACATGGTTATGAGCATTAGCGAACGGGCAGTAGACCCCGGTCACCTAGCTCACGCCGCCTCAGTCGCCCTGCCGATGCGGAAAGGCCTCGGTGGGACGGCCCCGAGGCGCGACACCCAGTCACCACTACCCTGTCACGTTGTACAGCTAGGTACTTGTTCGGTTCGATAATCTGCTCGATACAGCAGTATAACACAGGACGGAATCGGTTCCCGAACTTTGTTCGCACTCTGTTTCCTTGTAAGACAGGATTTAATCATGCAGAAGCACAAGTAATGAGATTACTGGACCACCTACCACCCACGCTATTCCTTTTCGTTATCGAAGAAACTTCGGGTCCCGAAATAGACTTGATGCCGGGTCATAGGAAGAAAATATCCGCTCTATGAGTTTACCCCATTGTAAGGTTTACAAGTCTATGCACGCGGGGAAACCTAGTAAACAATAAGACAAATTATCAGAGCATTGAACACGTTAACAATGCATTATGAAAAACTTACATCGCAAGTCAAATGCTATTTCTAGACAGTAGTTACGAAACGCTACGTTCCAATGATGCTCCACCGATGAAATTTTCTTAAACCAAAGCTAGCAACCTACTACGATCCCGAAATTACTCAGCCGCCGTGCTTTGAGCTATAGACTGATTTGCGGAATTTTTTTACAGCTTAGTTCCCTGTTCGAACTAATTAGTAGCTCTACCTGTCGTGCTGGAACTGGCTCATTCTCTTCTCTTTAAATTGAATCTAGTACCCAGCTCTACCGAACACTTCCTATTTCAATAGAAGCTTCACGCAGCACTACTTACAAACGCTAACTGGTTGAACTCACTTGAATATTCGCAGCTGATATCCCACCATCCACTTGAATATTGAGCGCAGGATACGCCTTTCTCAAGGTGCGAACCTGGAAATAATCTCGCTTGGTATCCAATAAAGCAGAATACTAGCAATATATTACCTTATCCATCATGTCACTCATGAACTTCTGACCACCGAAGCCTGGTTCAACTGTCATGATCAAAGCCATGTCAATTTTATCAGCGAACCTAGAATTTTCAGGTAAAGAAGAAGAAACAACCACACGGCTGCAATGACAAAGAAAGGAAAAGTCACCAGTAGGTTTTACATGATACACACCGTTATGCAAAGAATGCATCCTACATGCGACAAAAAAACATACTGAAGGACTTTCTCCACCGGCGTCTTGGGTTTAATAGCAAATCCGACTTTCATTTTGGCTTCGTGAATCTGAAATATGAAAAGTAGTCATAATTGAAGTTGATGCCGTAAAAATTTAGGTGGCACAGACTCTGTTAGAAAAAATACCTTACTGATCACTGAAGACACCTCTGCATCACCACCTTTTTCATGAGCGGCTTCCCAATGAAAACAAAACTGGTTGGCTCCTGCCGCAGCCATGGGAGTCACCCATCTGCCAGGATCGGCGACCTAAGTTGTTTTTCAAACCAAAATGAGCAATTTTCCTAACCGCAAACAAGCTTATGGTGAATTTGTTTAATTAAGGACGAAAAGAAACTGAACCAGGAAAAATGAGTACTGATGGTATGAAACACGGAAAAAGAAGTGGAACGGAAGATCAGCGCCTACGTCAGTGATAATGACCTGGACGAATTCCGATGGAAAGAGGAATTGCCTTTCGAATGCAGCGAATGAATCCCTCGATTAGACACGAGTCTAACTTCAGTCAATATCATCTCATAAAACGCATGAAAAGTCTTTGACCAACTTACCATAAGATGAACATCAAAGAACGGCTCAGGCCCAAGGTTCTTTCGCAATGACTCCACAAGAGGATGACCGAATGTCAGGTTAGGAACAAAGTGCCCGTCCATCACATCCAGGTGTAACCAATCAGCACCTACATTATATTATTGAGGAGCAACAAATAACAAGAAAAAGTGATAAGGAAGCAAAGTTTACAGCCTTTAGTTCACAGTTACAAGTTTTCCATCAGAACAAATCAAACAAACCTGCCGCTAAAAGCTTACGGCATTCCGCAGCCAAGTTGGCGAGATCGGCGTTCAGTATCGAAGGGCATATCGCCGGTCGTAAAGCCATACCTGACTTTACACTACTTTAATTTTAGTTTCAAAAACTTTTTTTCGAGCAATAACACCAAGAGTGATCAGGCTAAGACTGATATCACTGTTTCTATTCCTATTTTTCATTTTAGTCCATCACTGCCCAAGCCCGTTTGCTAATCCATTTGCTTTGGTATTGCAACAACAAATCCATCTCCTTTAAGAAATTCGGCCACATTTAGTCCACAGTCAAAGGCGAAAAGGTAGTATTGAGTTGACAACTAACAAGGGAAGGATCCCAAGTCGAAGTGGCCATTTGAAATGGGACCCATAC